GAAAGGAATTATCCAGATTTTTGAACACATACTAAAAGTCTGTTTTTAATCATCCAAAATTACATCAATATTCAGTTTATGAAAGTATACCTACATACTGCTTGAATCTATAATCCAATTTTACTTGTTCTGGCATCTCAGGCATGTAGACTTAAAATAAATGACTATTATTATTATCACTACTATTTTTGGAGACAGTGTCTCACTCTGCAACCCAGGCTGGAGTGCAGTGGTGCAAACATGGCTCACTGTAGCCTAGACCTTCCAGGCTCCAGCGACTCTCTTGCCTTAGTCCCCCAAGTCACTGGGACTATAGGTGCATGCTACCACATCCAGCTAATTTTTGTATTTTTTGTAGAGATGGGGTTTTGCCATGTTGTCCAGGTTGGTCTCAAACTCCTGAGCTCAGGCAATCCACCCGCCTTGGCCTCCCAAAGTGCTGGGATTACAGGCATGAGCCACCATGCTCGGCCTAAGTAATTATTTTGTATATGAATTTAGTTTAGCAGCTTTAACGTGAGAGCAAGTTGTCATATGCACATTATATTGGGGAAAAATAAGTCACACAAGATTTAAAGATGAGATTTAGAATAATTCAGCTATTCTTTAAAGACTTTTCTTACCAAATCTGAATTTCACACACACACACACACCACACACAAACTTCTGTCTGCCTTTTCTTCATGTACTCTCAGGTTAGATGAGGGTTTTGGCAGCTAACAGCTTCCACATTTTCAGACAGAATCAGTAAGTAGGTAAAATAAAGTTATGCTCTTTTGAAAAATGTCATAACATGCTTGGCTGATGGGCATATTGGGACCTTTGTAATGAGATGGCAGGGAAAGGAAGCAAGCAAGAATTAGCTGGAACTGAAGTTTTCAGCTGGAGTGAAGGAGGTAGGGTAGGGAATGTGAGGCAGCTAACCCTGTTGCACTGTTGGCCCCTGTGGGGTTGGCTTAGGAGATGGAGGGGGCTTTTTTTGCAGGTTGAAGACACTGAGAAAGTCACTGAAGTTCCTGTCAAATTTACTCATTCTCTCATTAATTCACTTACTCATACCATTTTTATTGAGCGCTTATAAGGTACTACATTTGTACTAGGTGCTGAAATATAGTACTGAACAAAATGGAGAAATTGTCCCTGCTTATCATCATGAACATGGGCATACCTGTCCTACCATGTACAGGAGAGAAAGACACTAAGCAGATGTTCACATAAATATATCATTAAAAATCCCAACAAAGGTTTTGAAGAAAAACTACTGGATGATAAGAGAAAATAGGAGAACTGATTTATTTCAGAGGCTAGTGGTCAGGGAAGATCTCCTTGTGATTTCAGGTTTAGATAGGCAGGAATTCTTGGGAGAAAAAAGAGATAAAAGCATTCTCCGTAGCAGGAATAGCATGTTGAAAAGGAAAGTGGTGGCAAAGAGCTGGTCAATGACTAGGGTAGCTACAGCACTGTGAATACTTTCCTTTTAAATAAATTTAAGAAAAAAATATATAAACTAGAATATCAGATATGTGGAATTAATAAAACACATATTTTATAATCCCATACACTTCTAAATCTTCATAATAAGATAATGAGTTGAACCCTGAAGCCAAACAATATTTGTCTTGCTTTGTGTATTTTCACTGGGCTGTTTTCCACAACAGAACAGTGAAGATTATACTCTAGGTGTGCTTATAAGGCATACTATATACATGCATGCACACACCCCTTTACTTTGCTGTTTAAGGGGATTCGATGATGATATTATCTTGCTATTAAATTCATACTAAATTTTCTCTAACTTTTAACTCAAAATCTTTAGATTACATAGAGCTAGTATTACAGCAGAGATAGACACCTATGAAATGCAATACTCAACCTTCATAGTCCTCTTCCACTTAAGTCCTATTCCATTAAACATGGCCATGTTATCCAAAAGAGCAACTGGCAAAAATGAAGATCAGTGGTTCATCATGAAAGCGATTAGATTACAGATTGATACTGACATTGTGTTTTCAGGAAAATTTACCATAAGAAAAAAGCCTTTCATTTTTAAATAAACGTATATAAACAGGTAAAAATAAAACAGAAATTCCTGTGAAATATAAAAAGTTATTATTTAAGTATATGTTGTTTTGTCTCCAAGGTCCAAGCATTGTTAACTGTAATATTCTGTTGTCCCAGCAATAGATCAAGCTAAATAACTATTTGTGTTTTATAACAGCGGCAGCTCAGTATGTTTCCCCTAACTTAATAAATAGTAACATAAAGTAAAATACAATTTTGGATAGAAATCAATCCAGGCACTGAAAACATTATTAACATCAACATATGAGGACACATGTTTTTTCAAGTCAAGCTTTTCAAAAAGCACTCATTTATTCATTAAAGCACAAATTCCTCTGTATATGGCATGTGTACCATGCACGAAGCAATAGGATAGAGTGCGGAAAGACCCCTGGAGTAGGTGATTTGGGTTCTAGTCCTGACTATAGTACTTACATTTTTTTTTGCAACACAGCTTTTGTAAATCATTTCTGAGTTTGGGTTTTGTTATTTGCACATTGGGTTGTTGTGAAGTTCAAAAGACATATTAAATGTGGAAACTCCCTTGCTAACTGTGAAAGCACTAAATAAGTGCAAGGTGAGATCCTCAAGGGAACTCAAGAGCCTAGTAAAAACCCCACCGATTAGAGTTCTCTCTTTTAGAACATTGGTTATAGATATCCAACATGCACTTGGGGGTTAACAATATTTTCTTCCTCTAAACCTAAGAAATGAGTTATCCTACTCTGGAATTGGTGTATCAGCATTACAGGGGGAGATCTCCCCCAAAGTTAACAATATTCCTTACTCTATCCTGGTCCTCTGTCAAAAATTAGTTGAGATAGATGTCATGTATCTGGGAAATACCATGTTACAGATTCAAGACATACAATAAAAACAGGAGGCAAAAGTGGACTCTGATTTCTCTCTTAGAATAAATTTCTAGAGGTGAAGTTAGTAGACCAGATTCTTGATATACATAACTAAATAATGTCCTTCAGAGAGGTGGTAACAATTTATACTCCTCAAAAATATTCGCAATATTCCTGATTACCAGTTTGGCTCACCTTTTACTGTCTTTCCTAATTTAATACCTCATAATTCACAAGACTTAACTACTTTCCTTCCCCACACAGTGTAACATCTGTCAGGATACGCATGACAGAATGGAACAGGCTGAGTATTTAAATGTGCCTTCAATGGCTCACTACTCTCAGGATAAATCCAAATTTTTAATAATTTGTACACTCTGAGTCAAAGTGATGGTCTCTTCTTCCTTCTCTAGGTTCATCTCTCACTACCAACTACCCTCTCGAATAGGCCATCTGTCCCTCATCTTCAAACTTTTGTTCAGGGTATTACTTATGACTGGAACACCAGATTCTAGAAGAAGCTCAGTGCTCATACAGCTCTTCTGAATAGTGGTAATAACAAAAGTGGTTCCCTTTCAAACAACTAAGAGTGCTGATTTCAGGCTGACTCTGAATGTCTAGGGAAAAAAAAAAATAATTCAATAGATCAGTCATTCAATGGAGCAGATTCTGACACAGGCACTAGTGTCTTAGAAAGAGACTTGAGAGTATGTAACTGGGGAGAAGGGAGGGTAAAGAATGAGGCACCTAGGAGTGCTAATGACACTACAGTCCAAATAAAAACATTTTTCTACACTCTAGTTTTATGAAAGAGCTATAGAATAAGTAGATGATGTAAGAGATTTGCTCAGAGAAACAACTCAATTGTAAGTTATTAAATCTTTCACATTTTGAATGCCTAGATGGTATACCTTCTACAGCAGAAGCAGATTAAATTTTTTTTTGATATTTTAAGCATTAAGCACAGTAATTCAAATTACTTAAAAACTTGCAGTCCATGTTTTTTAAGGGCTCCTAGTAAGAAGCTATAGTTCCAGTGACACAACAAACTTCTTTTAACCAAAATGGTTTAAAATGCATAATTTCGTGGATTGAATGTTCTTGCTGACATGATTCTCAGCTTCCACATGGCCATTATCCTAGTTTCTCATCATCCATATGGCCTGGACTTAATGGCCCTGCTTTTGATCTCTCAAATGATGCTCTGCACTAGAGAGATCCAACAGGCCGATTTGATCATGCAAGTTCCCAGTTCAAAATTATTCAATAGCTCTTTATTACTGCAGGAAAGAACCTAAGTACTTTATCATACAATTCCTGATCTAACCTTTACCTGTGTCTCCAGGCCCATCTACTACCCCTTCCTCATGCCACTTCCTCCAATTGTTAATACACCAGCAATTATAAGCCACACGAAATCCTTGGAACATGCCACATTCTTACACATTTTTAGTGTACCTGCATATGCCTTTGCACTAAAATACTGCTACTTATATTTTATTCTTCATTCAAATGCTCCCCACTCTGAAGCCTTTTCTCACTTCCCCTAAAGACTAAGGCTCTATTTCTCCTATGTTCATCTTCTGCTTTCTGCACCCACCCATTACAACAGTTAAGTTATACTGGGACTCTCAGCATGTCTTTCTCCCCATATAATGGTGTGTCATGTCTTCCCATTTTACCTCTAGCTCTCCTCTCCATGTCTAGCAAATAATAGATGCTCATTTTTCAAATGGAATCATGACTATATTAAAACTGTATCTTTAATGTTGAATTTTGCAGCTATCTGTGCATTGCATAGTATCACACTGATGATTAATCAGCTATTTATTATTGTTCTCCATCAATTTTGTGCATATTAAGTTATGCCATTAAAAATCCAACGTGCTATAACTATGGACTCATTGAACACATAAACTTAGGAAAATAATCAATTACCCATCATTTTTTAAGGGTATAAACTTTAAAGTTAGGCTCTTTTGTGAAAATCTAGTAAAAGGATAAAAATAACCTAGACTTTACCCAAAAGAGTCACTTGCCAGTCTCTCAACAAAAATTGTATCAAAGAGTCTTTGAAATTTTACTTACATGGTATAGTGTGGTCTCTGGCACAGGAGTGCCCATGATGTCTTGTCTCAGTGCATCCATTTGTAAACTAGGTAGCAATGAATAGTGAGTTGGGCTATTACTCTTATCACCCTTCTTTTTTGACTTCTTCCCTGTGTCCTTTTTGCTGTTTCTCTGAAACATGTATTCTTCTTGAGCAATCTTTTCATTGCTCATATACCGAAGTAGAGAGTTTTCTATATAAAAAGAGATAAATACACCAATGTAAATACACAAATACACCAAATTTACCATTCTTTCTCAATTGTGCTATTATTAGGTTGGCGCAAAAATAACTGCGGTTTTCCCATCCCTTTTAATCGCAAGAACCGCAATTACTTTTGCCCCAACCTAATATATTTCATTTCAGAACTTTAACTTGATTTAATTTATAAAATATGTAGTGAAATATGGTATATCTTAATTATTTGGTATGATAAGACAATTAAAAGTAGACAGTCGATAGATTATTTCTCCAAGTTTTAGCTTTGGACCAACTACATTAGAATCATCTCTGGAACTTGAATCAGAAGTTCTAGGTGTGTGGCTTATAAAATTTGTAACAAGCTCCCTCACGGGGATTTTGCCAAAGCCTGATAACAAACACCGGCCTGTGGTATGCAAGGTAGCATGCTTGGAGAAGTTGAGGCCCACACTGAGAACCAATAGTCAGGAAATTTCGTTCAGGAATTCTATGCTTAAATTGGTAGTCAGCACTTAGTACTTCACATGGTCCCCCTCCCCACCAACAAAAGTCACTAAAATATGAAGTCTCAAAACAGTGACTCTGAGATAGCATGTGATAAACATTTCTCTTTTGTATTCTTCTTGATTTATTCTATAGAACAAATGAGATTAGAAATTGAAGACTGGAAAATGGAGTGAATACACAGATATAAAGGAATCTGTCAATTTCTGTATTTATCAACATTTTCAGAAATGCTCACTCCATAAAACAAGTATTAAGGAGACTAATGAACCAGATATTCATGCTTGCTTTTCCATATGGTCTGCGGATCTGTGCAGTAATAAAATAAATTCTGTAAACTGGCTAGAAGTAACAAGAAAACGGGTCAAACATATCATGAAGGAAGCTTAGTGAACTTACATTCTATGAATAGTTTTTTGTTTTGATTTGTTTTATTTTCCACCTATGACCTTACGGCTCTCTACTGCAGAAAGTGGAAGTAGCAGCATGACCCACTGGACCCACCATACCCACACTTGATTAAATCCTACTTAGTAGGGAAACTTTCAGTTGCTTTCTATTGCTTATCTCTATAGCAGGATAAGTGAACATAAAAATTTACTTTTGGTAGATCCTTCAAGAGTAGCCCACCCCCATGTAAGAAGATAACTCTGAACAGCAAACAGAACAGGAAAAAAAAAGCAAAGTTTTTTTTTTGTTTTTTTCCTTCTATTTCTACATGGTTTTTGTTAGACGTCACTGGCCCGGTTTCCATTAGTTTTTAACTCATGTGCTTCAATGCTCATTTTTAGGTTGATTCCATACAAAATTGGTGAGGTTGCATTGCAGACTGATGAGGACTGATGATAAACTCTTCCTATTCACTGAACCTATTTTATGCAGTTTCACACTTCCGACCTTGTGTTTCAAATATTAACTTTCAAGTAACAATCAGATATTTACTTTTAACACCGTACTTATGTACCTGGAATCCCTTAGTAGGCATTCAGAGACAATATCTGTTTAATAATGGGTCAAGATAGTCCAATGTTGGTCTTACTTGGTTTTGTTGCATAATAAAGTCAATGATAGAATAAGTTTTCCACTGAAGCCATAGCAATCTATTTAGAGAACATTTAAATTTGCTTATTGTTCAAACAACCCAGCCTACACTGAAATTCTAGAACACTTACCTCTTCTACTATCTCTCTTCATCTTATTTGGATCTTCATAGTCCCCCACCCAATTATATTCCACTGGCATAGATATAGGTCGTAGCTTGCCTAAACACAGAGAACAAAGTTCACATCACATTGTTTTTCTTCCCCATGTCTGCTCAAACTTACACTGATTTTTAGCTAAGGTCTACCAAACACATTCACTCTTATGCAACATTATGGTTGGCATTTGTGTAGATGGAGAAAATGTGTTTTGAGCCAGAAGGTGAAACTGCCTATTGGCCAGGTGATAAAGCAAACTTAAGGTACTTTTTATAAATAATAATTAATAGCCTAGGTTAGCTCTCTTAGGAACCCCAGACTTTAAGGGTATAGTTTCTTTCTTTCTTTCTTTCTTTTTTTTTTTTTTACAAAGAAGATAATCATATAAGTGATTTTACTCAGTAACTGGATCTCTATCTTATTTCCTAGTGCCCAAGTGTCTATATCTTGATAGCCAACCTCCAAGATGGTAGCTTTCTGTGTTTAACCTGACTACCAGTCATTAACCCACTGTTTCATGTTGGAACACCACAAGAATAACTTTGTATCTTTGCTGCTTCCTATCTCCTATCACCATACATTTTGGACACCACCATGTCTCAAAAATATGGTTAGATTCTCTTTCATGTCCTATAGCCGAGTCTGCTGCTAAGCATCTCTTTTGCTACAGTAAGCCTGTCCAGTATATAGATCCAAGTAATCACAGCTTTGGTTTTTCCCATTTCCCCCTGGGTCTGTATCCTTACTAAACAGCATTTCACTTCAGCAAGGAGAACTCATGGCAAATACTTCAATAATAACTTTTATTTTGGTGAGGCTGTAGTATATTATTTCTGTTCCACTTGAAATTCCTGAAGCCTAAAACAGCCAAAGAAAATAATTCAAAAGTTTTAACAGGATACCTAGCACAATGCCTGGCATGAAATAGTTGCTTACTGAATTTCTAGTGAATGAAAAGCAGAGACTCACACAGGACTGGATCGTACAAATAATAATGGTTATTATGATTATGATAATAGTACAAACATTTATATGTCATTTGCCATATAGCACACAGTAACAGTTTTATAAGGATTAAATTGTTTACTCTTGATAATTCAGAGAAATATACTATCATTATCCTCATTTTAACTGATGAGGAAACTAAGGTTATATAACTTGCCCAAGGACATATACCTGTCAAGTACATAGTATCAGGATTCAAACCCAGGCACTCACACTTACTTCTGTCATAATTCTTGGTGACTTCAATATTCACCCTCTGAGAGTCTGGTCTTTCAGTTTCTTGAGGTTCTCTCTCACACTCATTCCTATGGTCATATGCTTAGTCTCATCAGCAAAGGCTGCAATCCCTTTAAATATCCAACTTACCAACTACCACCTTTTGTATTTCTAGCACTCTACCTACAGTACTCCAAGTCCAACAATTCTTCCTCCTTTAATGTATTAATACCTATCATACTACTTTTCAGTATCTATCAGTCACCTTCTGTCCCTGAAACTTCCCTCCTTGTCCAGCTAAATTTTATGATTATTATAATCATTCAATATGTTTTAAAAAATTCTGTTAGGAGAATTCTAATTCTGTTCTTAAGGAAAATGTATCAATCTTATGGCTTCTTATTGTTAACACTGATACAGTTTAGTCTGTTTTGCTAAGCTCTTTTAAAAGATTAACTAGACATGATAAAATTATTAATGAGCCAAAAATGTAGTATTTAATGGCTTCCTTTTAAGGTATGCAAACAACTTTGTAAATGATCACCTAATATTCCAAATTCTCCATCAGTATATCTCTGCTCTTTTACACAGAGGGAATTTGAGTGAGATGATCTGAGGCAGGATAGGTAGTCAAGGAAGTAAACATGTCCTCACACGACAACCATACAGTTAACACAATAAGCCCCAGCATTCACACTGTAGTCCAGCTCATTCAAACACAGCTATCTATAGTAGGGAATTTCCCCTGCAGGGAGCACATGCATTTTGATTACACCTGTCCTCAGACTGACCCTTTGCTCATTATAATAGTAAACAACACACCCCTGGACAGAGATTTAAGATGCTAATGAGACATGCAATGTATGAACAAGCATGTACAGCTACTGTGCATGTGCACCCAGAGGACCACCAAGAATATGCTTACTAGCAACACCTCTTCCCATTCCTTTATGAATAATTATGTAAGACTCTCATAAAGGGAGTCTCCCTAGTGCCAGTATTGGTGGTCTCATCCTTAGGAGCAGCTCGCCCTGAATCCTCTCTCAGGGTGTACTGTCTATTCTGTACCTAACTTTCATAACATTCTTTGTCCTTTGCAATAAATTGCTCTATGCAACATCTCCTTTGCTGTGGGTCTCTCATTTAAATTCTTTTAAGCTAAGAAGAACCGAGGTCTCACAACAGCCATCTACAGATCCAGGTCAATATTCTGCCCATCGAAAGTAGGGTAAGGGTTTGAGGGAAGGTCTCCTTTTGTTATGTCTATTCCCACCACTTTGCATAATCAGTCCTCCAGATTTTCAATGTTATGAAGGTTGTATTTTCAAAATATCTACAATTTATTTCTTTAGGATCTGGTTTTAAAAATAAACTCTACTTCAGCATGGGCACTGAAACTGAAGCAATTAACAGCTCTAGCACTGTTTTTACATGTCACCAAAAAATCCTTTGAAAAGTGAAAATCCAATAAATAAGCAGTTAATTGTTTTACTTGCTCTATATGTTATATGTATTAAAAAGCTAGTTAGATATTTTTTGAAAATTGGTTGTTTGGAATCAAACATATATGCACAAAAACAACAAAAAGAAACATACTTCACACACAGAATATGAAATACATAATTGTATTCATTGTATTTTGTGTCATTTCTGAAATTCTAATGGAGCTAAGTCATTGAAGAATGTAATTAAGCCCTTGATATGTCTGGTTATATAATTAGCCATAGAAACAATTATGCAGAAGATTTTTAACACTGACTTTTCCGGGGATGACTTTTTTTTTTTTAAACAGAATTATACTGTATACTACTAATGCACAATTGAAGGAAAACATACTAAATTAGAAAAAAATTGAGAGAAAAAGCTTTACTGACATTTACTTTTGGAGAACATCAAGGTTTTGCTTTTATTAGTTATAAAACTATAGATTCAGCAATGCAAATAAAAATAAGTATTTTTTAAAATAAAGTATATTATTGATTTAGGTAGAACAAATAATGTTGCTTATAAGTACTGATTTTTAATTGTCCTAAAATATTGAAGTAGACTTAATAAAGCAGTTAAACCAGTAACATAAGGTAACATTCTTGTATAAACATCAGTCCATGGCAGATTGAAAAATAGACCATGGCTTAAATTATTTCTAATTCCAAATATACAGATCATTGATTACAGCTTGAAAATATGTTTGCTACTACATGTATATACAGCAGCATTTTAATTTCACAGGACAGCTAAGTTCAAATGGAAAGATAACTTTATGATTCAATGTTTTAGTGCTGTTGGTAAAAAACAAGGGAAACAAAACACCAAAGGTAAGAGTACTATAAGCATTATAGACTTAAATCAAATATACACTATTATTAATACATGCAAAATATTTTTATACTCATATGACTTTGTAAGGCTTTAATACAAAGCCTTACAATGGATTGGTTGTATCCATTGGTTTACAATGGATTGGTTTAATAAAATTAAATACATCTGACCCATTCCTGTGTAAATGTACATAAATAAAACACAAATCTCTGAAAAGTAATCTGGAAAAGTTTAAGACATGTCTTTACATAGTAATACTTATATTGGTTTTTGAAGTTGTAAAGTTAAGATGACTAATTCATGATAAGAATAATAACAGCAAAGAATATAATCAAGAAAATGAGGATTAGAGCCCATTTAACAATTTTTGCTGACCACTTCTTAATGTTTTATTCCTTTAAGTATAAAGCATGTATTAATTGCAGAGTTCATTTGGCATCCTATCATAAGCCTTGTGATACCACTGTGCTAGTGCCTCATAATATAACCATTATTTTATTTGGTTTTTAATATCTGTTGCACATCTAGAGTTTTTTAATTGGTGCCTCCATAGAGGCAGGAATTTTGTGCTGTATTTCTTACTGTATTCTAATAAATGTGGTAAAGGTAAAAGATAAATATTTTTATAGAGGCACACAGAAAAAAAGATAAATATTTTTTGGATTTTGTCTGAATTTTATTATGATATTAATGGCAAGCAGCTTTTTAAGAATTATGGGCTATATTCAGCTGCAAGTAAGCAAATGGAACACAAAACACAATTTTAAGAATATAGACAATGATGAAGTGCTATATAATGATATATCCTAATTACTGTATTTTAATACAAAATTGCTATGCTTGAATGTTAGTGTACAACATTGCTTGAAAATAAACTAATTTTTACCTCAGATAACAAAGCATTTTAGGTGATATCACAAATGCTACAATCCCCTTTGGCAGAGTTAACTGCTCACTCTGTTGGGCTCCCTAAGCTTTTTCCTGGTGCCTTTAGCATATATACAATACTTATTATGCTGTATTGTGACATTAGGGAGATCTCAAACTACTGGGTTGCTCATTGGATCCTATTCCCTCTGACCTACTCAAGGGCATGCCTTGAGCAATCCTCCCTTCTTTCTCCTGCATCATCAACTTTTCTCTTTCTACTCAGTCATTCCTATTAGCATATAAACATGCTGTAATTTCTCCATCTGTTTTTAAAAAAGTAACTCTCCTCACCCCACAAACCTCTACCCAGCTACCACCTTTTTTGTTCCCCTTTACAGAAAACCTTGTAGAAAGCTTCTTTATATTTGTAGCCCCCAATTCTTCTCCTCCTCTTCTCTCTTGAATCTTCTCTGATTAAGCTCTTGCCCCCACTATTCCATCAAAACTGCTATTGTCAAGGTTTTTAGGGCCCCCATATTGCTAAATCCAACAGACAATTCTCAGAGTCCTTGACTTTTCTAATGTATCTGTAACATTAGCACCGATTATTACTCCTTCCTTGAAACACTTTCCTTACCTGGCACCCTAGGACT